GAACACCCTGACATCAACATGACGACGCAACTGCGCGACACATTGCAGCCCGTCGGCCATCTGCTTTCGAGTCGCCGTGTCACACCCCTCGTCCTCCACTGTGCACGAGATCCGGGGTAGTTACACAGCGAGTGTGGGGGAGAAGGGGACATACTAGCACCTAGAACAGAAAGTAAGGTCGGGCCCACTAATGTTGAGGCGCAGAGATTGACGTACAATTGGATGAACAGACGACCGCAAAATACACCGGGTGATAGTCGGCCAGACCGAGCCCATCCGAAGCTGCCCATTAAAGCAACTCAATTGAACCTGTGGGGACATCGATAAGGGTGAGCGAGCCTAGCATTACGCTTTCCCGTACGTAAGGAATCGTCGTTCATTAATATGGACCAACGTGTGTGCTCGGCCGTTGCTGATGTGGCCCAGAAGGCCGGCTGCGAAGCTCTCCCTTGCGCTGTCGCCGACGTTCTCCCCGTCGATGGCCCGCATAACACCGGACGTCTTCTCACAGGCTGATTCTTGGTTCAGCGCACGCGACTGGGACACGTAGTGGAAATGGGAGCGCTGTGGTATTCGCTCTACCCAATGTACAGATTAATGAGTGTGTCAATCGTCAGACAAATTGTAGCAGGTACTCACCCGCATGTTCGCGCCGGTTGGTCACAGACCACGGTAAACACTGCCACAGCACAGCGACACATATCGGCAGACATATAAATGTATGACCTGCAGCCTACGAATAAGTACATGTTCTCAAGACTGACTCGTTCGTCGTCCGGGGTCCTTTGGCGTTCTGCTTTACTTGGGTTGCCTGAGTGGTGATCGTGAGACACAACCTCATACATTATCACTGTCATCTCGACCAGTAAAGTACAACGGCCAAAATTAAAGGCGAGCCTGAACAATCAAGACCATTCATTAGTGTCATCGTTTGGGCAACGCAGATAATAGGTGTCAAACTTACCATTCCTGCACGTAAATGTACTTCAGTCTTTCACGGCCGAGACGTGATGAAAATCAGGGCCGGTCCTTCATTGGGCCCTCCACTCGCGCGGACCATGCTATACGGGGTACCGACGGTCTTTCGCCCGCAGTACCCCGTATAGCACGTACTGCGCGGTAAGTGCCCTTACCAACAAGTTTGTCTTGAAGCTATCAACAGGATCGATGAGTCTTTAGACACGACCGCCGGGAAGTCAAACATACCATCTATGCCCTGAACTACGCGCGCTGGCTTGCCTGACGTGGCGAGTATATGATTTATTCAGTCAATAGCCAAACTTAGGCACCTCTGGAGCACCTACATCATTGTAAGACACAGAGTGACCACAAAGACGTCACGTTCCAGAACCCAGACCGTCGATATCGGCTTGCCCATGCCCCGCGCCTGATCGTGCAGCCCATCCAGTGCGATCTGGGGACAACTCACCCTCGAGGAGTCTTCGCAGAAGACCCGGCCGCGCAGACCTGCTTCTGTGTCCGGACAAGAAAACGTGCGATAACCTATCTGCGAGCGAGGGGCCCAGCTTATATGCCCAACTGCCCGCGCGCGCGCCGGTATGCTGCCGAGGAAACGGGGTGGCGATGGATGGGTAGGAGCGCGCTTGTCGATGTATTACGGCAAGTGGAGACGGTTTCGACGCCGTTTCGTGGCCTCGGAGGCCCTCACGCCCATATCCGTCCGGCGGTTCGCCTGATGTCGAGCGATGAGGGTGTGCATGTGAGCACGAAGGCAGCGATTTGGGGGCATTCTTTACTGCGCGGCGTAGAAGATTGGAGCGGATATCGAGCGCGCCAGGTTCGCGTAGAGACTAATTGGTCGCTTGTCGTGCGGGAATTGAGAAAGCGTTTGGGGTGAGAACGTGCAGAGCAAGCCAGACGGACAGGGTGTGAGCATGACGACGTGGTGGTATGCGACAGAGAATGAGAGAGCCCAAAGCGACCGTTCGTGAGGACGGCTCGTCCCAATCAAATCGATTGCGAAATCGATTGCAGCAAACTCGCCTCCACAACAGGAAACCACATCAAATCTCCTTAGAACTCGCAAAGACGGTGTATCGACTAAATATTCCAGAGTATGAGCAGCCTAGTGGCCTAAAGTCCGGTGTCGCTACATTACAAATTAATTCGTGTGCATAACTGGGATGAGATATCGAGTTTCGGTTGATCTTCCAAGTGCTTCCTGCCCCCCCTCCAGGTCTTCCAAGTCTATCGAGCGTTTGAGTTAGGTATATTTACAATGTGCAGTTGCGGCAGGGTTACTGCTCAATGGGATGCACAGCCTCTTCCTTCATCTCTTCCTCTAGCGCATTCACACCTGCATCGGTAAGGACAGGGATGCCCGTGTCCTCGTCCCAAACGAAGTATTTCGGGACATACCTACGTTATAATAAGCTCAGCCATGGACACACATATCAAATGAATATAACTCACTTCTCTCCGCGCAGCTTCCTGGCAGCTTCTTCCTCCCTCTGCCGCTGCTCAATCGCATGTTTCGCCTTGTTCGCCTCGCTGTACTCCTTGCTAAGTAGCTTCTCGGTCACGATCTGCCACATGAGTCTGCTCTCCTTTTCCTGCTGCTTCGACAAGTCTCGCACGAGCTTGGGTATCGGGTATAAAGTAGACAAGTCGAGGAGCGACACCCACTCGTCGAGCGGGAGGGACAACGAAGACGATGTGGGAGAGACAGGGGAGCGCGGGGTCGACGACTGTGACGGCGGGGGGAAGAACGCCGGGTTGAGCTTGTACTTGATGAGATGCCGCCAGCTGCCCGTGATACTCGCTACGACGCGCTCCTTGGGCACATGCTTGACCCTCGTCCAGCTCTGCCACCCGTCCCGGTCGTTGCCCGTGTCGGTGAGGTCGTACGTGTGCACGACGCCCTCGATCGCAAAGTGCGGCTTGCCGATCCAGGACTCCTCCTTGAAGTCGATCACCGCGCGCAGGCCGACTGTCGTGCCCTTGTAGCGTCCACCGGGGATCGTCCATCCGTTGCCGCCGGTGCAGGTGATGATGGTGCTTTCGCTTACGGTGATGTAGAAGCTCCCGCGGAGGATGCCGTTGACATGTGCGGGCGGGTGATTGATGTGGTACCGCTCCCTCTCGCCGCCGGCGCCGGTGCGGTTCTCGAGGAAAAGGAAGATGCCCTTGTTGCACGAACCTGGCGCGACGCGCACCGTAGTCCCGCTCACCTTTGCGCTGATTTGATCGATGCCGCACATCGCGACTTGCCGCGAGGGGCACGATGCATAGTAAGCGGACACGGGCGGGTGGTGCGAAATCTGCTCGGTCAGGTAGGAGGTCCGGACGCGTCGCGGGCCCGCCGAGGCAACAACAGGCGAGGATGTAGGCGAGTCGGCCTCGATGAGCTGGACCGACGACACAGACGCATTCCCAGGGAGACCCTTCAGCTTCTCGTCATCAAGTTGGGCTGTTGACGGCGAGTTGGAATCAAGAGTGAGGTGGGCAAGTTCGGCATCAAGCTGTTCCTCAATCGCGGATGTCGCGGGGGTACTTGGCGTTGGTGTTCCTGTGCGCGTCGTGCCCGAGCCTGATGCACGGCTGGTAGCCCCGCTGCTCCTTGCGCCAATAGATTTCCGACTCGCCTCGCTGACACCGCTCTTGATGCTGCTACCCTCCATAGTCGAGTACACACTCTCCGCCGCAGCCGGAGCCAAGTACAGGTGTTGGACTGGTGGCCGCAGGCGGTTCGCTTCAGGGTACGTGACTGGCATGACGTCCCAGTGGGCGCGGAAGTGCTCGCCGAGAACAGAGTTGTAGGGTTTGCATACTTTGCCGTGCTGTAGTCAAAGTATAAGTTCCCTGTGAGACGTATTGAGGGGAGCACAGGTACGCACAATGAACTTGAGATCCTTAGAGAACGTAAACCTCAAGACGGCAATCATCCGCTCAAATGGATCCTCCGAATCATTGACACTGTGGACGCAGGCACGAACGTGCAGGACATAGCCAGCGACGAGGCAGCGTATCCACGATAGTACGTAGCAACACCATTTAGAGCCGTAGTGAAGGATATTAAACGAGGAAAGAGGACGGCGCAATGAGCATTCGTAGTAAGGGGCATTGATGTTTGGACTTACGCAGCGAAAAGGTCCGGCCTATCCAAATAATGCCAGTATTCAAGGTTCGGTATGGGCTCCAGCAACGAAGCGGGGAGTGAGAGTCGCCTACGCCAAGTAGTCAGTATCTAACACGGCCCATGGTTGGGAAGGGGACTGCGCTGTGCGCGACCCCGCTAGTAGGCTTGCGCACGGCGGGGCGTTTAGCCCGGAGGTGTGCAGTCAAGGCCACCACACATCTCGCGACTCCTAGCAAAGCGAAGAGGTACGGCACTTACATGGACGCGATGTCCTTCACTCCGAAGCACTTCTTGACCAAAGAGACAATCATCTTGATCTTGCCACTCTCGCCTGTGTCGCCTGTGTCGGGAACAGAGACGGGTGGTTCAGATGTATCGATCTCGTCCTGGACGGTAGGCATGGTCGTGGCAGCCGTTAAGGTTGGTTTGTCGTGCAGGAGAAGTGGTCGTTAGTCTGATCAGACGTGGGGTAGTCGAAAGCGATTATATGTGGAATATATAGCGAAGGATGCCGTGATGAATGAGAGCCCAGGAAGACAGAGAGAAGACGGGACAGAATGCAATGCAAGGAAGAGACGTGGCAGAGCAGAGGAAGGAGAGTGCGAAGCGGAAAGACGATAACCGAGCAAAGGCAGTTGCGCAGTGCATCATTCGTGTCTTCTATCGCCAAGACACTGCTTGTCATTGTCCAGCCACCCGGCCCGCCAAAAGGAAAGGCACGTTGGCTCATCTCACAGTTAAGACGGTTGATTTCAAGTCGGATTTGCCACAAAGGTTCAATACATCTTCCTATGGGAGTGTACCTGGTTTTAACTTTGAATGCGCAGGCAAGGGTCTGGGAGCGGACAACTTAGTGAAGCATAATTAATAATATAACACATCTCCTTCAATTCTCTTTAACGGTTCGGTGGTGTAGTTGGTTATCACATTCGTCTCACATGCACGTGATCACGAGAGGTCCCCGGTTCGAGACCGGGTCGAACCATGCTTTTGCCAACTTTCGTAGCACTTAAATAAAAAAAAAAACCCAGACTGGTGAACTAGAAGACTAGTTTTTGTATCCTACTGATTACAATGCAGCTAATGCTATAGCTATATAACCGCGACAGGGGGAACATGCCTCAAGGCCACTGTTGTTCGAATGGAGCAACCCCCCACTGTCCGAGTGACTGGTAAACTGGTGGCGACGACTGATGGATGTGAGTGGAGTTCTCAGCCAGCTTCTGGATTAAACTGCCGAGAGTTGTAGCGTGGCGCTTGATCTCTTCAGCTGGGGTGTCGGCCAACCATGCAGGTAGTGCTGAACGGATTACGTCTCTGGCACTCGTGCATGCAAATGCTATCTCAATTTCACGAATGCGGTCAAATCTGTGTTTGGACGGGTGCGTCAGCGCAGTTAATAGTAAATCTTTGAAGTGAACACAAACTGTAGCGTGAATGTTGAGAAGAGTTCGGTCGTGATGTTCCTGCTGGAAAGCTTCGACCGGAAGTCTGCCTCTGCCCGGGCTTTCAAGCCAACCATTCCAAGCTGTACAGAGGCTCAAAATTTTAGCTATGCATAGCGGCATCGCAGAGGTACACACCTCGTCAGCTAACTTGTACATAGACTTTGGCGAACATAAAGGTGGTCCAAAAGTAGCGTGGCGACGCGAGCCACCCGGAGCATCCAATTGGGAGGTGAGTGGAGCAAACGATATCGTTCCCGTATACAGGTAATACACCAGTGCCTTCCATCTAACGTCCAAGTTAGCCTGGAGTAATAGCAGTAAATGTACGCCATGAAAGCTTACGTGGGGTACGCAAATTGGCTGAGAACCACGATCTTCCCTTTGTAGTCAGGTCCAGAAACGTTATCCTCTTCGACCTTCATGGTATGTTTGTTACCTGTTACTGGATTCATATCTGCCTGGATGATCTGGCGTATTTACTGGTAAGACTGACAACGGAAAACCTTGATAAATGAGGTGTACCTTGGCCGCACAGTGATCTAGACTACTATCTTCTTCTGAGATCCATGAGTCATCCTCTGCGCAGTTGACTGTCACATTGGTCGGGTGAGTAGATACCAGGGTGGGAGTATCAACGTCATCTTCTATGTCGCTGTCAGACTCGAAGCCCTGGCTCTCAGCTTCAGTGAGGTGTGTCCGGCCCTCTGGCACATCTCCGTTTAGTAAACCAGTAACGGTGTTACCTCCGAAGCCCCCTCCAAGAACTAATGTTTTGTTAACCAAATGATACGCAAAGCTGCGTGGAGACAAAACCCACTCACGGGCTTCCAAATAGTGACATCCCGCTCCACGCAAGACACCACTGCCAGCGTAAACCGCTCCCGGTGCATAGATGACTGCATCTTGGTTTCGTCGAGAGAAGACGAAGAATTTCGTGTCGATGAAAGTCCCCGTGTCTAGCGATTTTCTGCATTCATGATGCAGCCCGGTGGTGGGATCTGTATAAACGGCCGCCTGTTCCTGCGGTGGCGCCAGCATGCTATGAGGAAATGTCTCTTGAAACATAGTGTGGCCTACTCGAGGCTGCGGATAGTCGCACCCTTAGAACACCCTCATGCTTATATGCATGTTCCGCTCCGACGCTCTGTCACGATGAAGTAGGAGCGATTCCTATCATATTGGCATGCCTTGATACACATGGCAACGCGCAGATGAGTATGTGACCTGCCGTAGTGCGAACATGTATATCGGATACCTCCCTACGGAAGGGAGCGTTACGCCGCAGCATGCCTCAATAAGAGCTGGCCCTGTAAAAGGTTTTGGTGGTACTGTTCGGGTTTTACTTTGATGACTATCTGCTAATAACGCTAACTGTGTGGGAAGACTATGTGGTTGTCTAAAGTACTCCTAAATCAATCCTCTTAGTCTAGTGGATAGTGGTATATGCATATGAGGGAGCTCACGGTGATGATTATACTAGCTCTGGACCAGAACTATAGACAGTCTTCTGCCCCAAACTTCAAACGCCACATTCCAGAGGTACTTGATATTGCGTTCCGGGCCTTGTGCGAGTCGATGTCGCGCAGCGCATTACTTGGGCGCGTCGCGATAAACAGTCCCTTTGCGCGTGACGTTATCGTAATGTCGAGGGCGTGACAATGCACAGAGCGGGCATGGAAGGGGGGGGGGGTGTCCGCGTCAAAGGTACTCACCTTTGGCGCGGAGGCGGACCTGAACGTAGATGACAACGAGAGCCCCGTCGGTCTGGTTGGTGCCGATTCAGATGGCCTCGATATATAGTCCATCGAGCTTGGGGGAGACCTGCTCGTTGCGCGAGGTGGCACGGAAGGCACTTTGGCGAGGTAAAGGAAGTGCGGGAAGACGGCGGGGGGGAAGGGCGTTCATGCATCGGCATGCCCTGCTCTCACTATTTAACTGCATGTTTGGTACGCTCGCAGGTCGAACACCAGTCCACTCCAGGCTCGAACAAGTTGAATAGATCTATTCTACATGTTCGAGCCCGGTGCGTACCAATCTTGGACGAGCGAGCGTACTTCAAGTTCTCGCAACGTGTAAGATGATGCGGCCAGCGAGCGTATTCAGATCTCGAACCACGAGTCAGAAGTTAACTGCAGCGTCCAGGATGCAAAAAGCGGTCGTGAGTCGTGACTAAGCGCACGTGGCGCATCAATGTGGCGCGCGCGACCTGGTGGCTGCATCCTTCGTGTTCTTTCCTTGAACTGTGTACGATACTTACCGAACAGCGCCCTTGCGCAAGCTTATTATGATGTTTCTCTTGACTGTTAATATACCTCTAGAGCCCAGCGTTTTCCGAGAGTGCGACATGCGTGTTCAATGTCAGGTTGATCCCGCCCCCATCGATATGACACCCCCATAACCCGTGAGTCATTCACCGACGACCACCATCATCCCTCAGACAGCGACATGGCAGACTTTCCCGAGCTCTCGGTTTTTGCAGCTACCTCCGCGCAGATCGACGAGTCTCGCAAACGCACCCATGCTTCTTGGAGCCGAGGGCTCAGTGTCGAGGCATATGTAGAGAGGGACAACATTATGGACCTCCAGGAGCATGCGGCAGACGGCAAGTTGGTCACTTGGTATGCGAGTGGCTCACTTCGCTTTTCCGTGCAACTTCATTTTTAACGCGGACCATCTAAAGGGTCCTCGCTCCCAGGAGCGACCCTACCTCTTTGGACTTCAAGTGCAGCTGCGAAACGTATGCACATATACCTTTTTTAAAGACTCACTTACTTACATTAGCATCAGCTATCGTCGCATGGGAATTGTCGCACACCCCTCCTCTACATCAGCTAGTTCAGTCGTCTGTTACGGCATCGCCTCCGTATACACGCCTCCACAGCACAGAGGACATGGGTACGCGTCACTCATGATGTCTCTCCTGCACTGGGTGCTTGCCCCGCGGTCCTCGCTGCCAGCCGAATTCCCCGCGATTTGGGGCGCCCCGCCAGCGCCGCACCTCCAGGACGCCGTCTTCAGCGTGTTGTACAGCGACGTCGGACGCACCTTCTACGCACGCTGCGGCCCAGAGCCCTCGCCCGACCGCCCCCTCGGCTGGATCACCAAGAGCCCTGTAAGCACACAGTGGGACCTCCCTCCCGTGCCTACCGTGGGCGACACGCCCGCCTGGAAGTGGCTCTCCCGCGCCGACTGCCTCGACGTCTGGGAGCAGGACTCCGCGCTCATACAGGCGGAGGCCGCTGTGCTCGCCGGAGCGAAGGGCCGGACCGTCTGCGCGTTCCTGCCCGACAACGGCGTCGCACAGTTCAACATCCAGCGGCTCATGACCTTCGGCGCGGGCCTGCAGCCTGTGTACCCACCCGAGCCGTGGGGCGTGCAGCTCATCGGAGAGGAGCAGCTCACCTTCGCGACGTGGACGTTCGAGCCCGGCACGAAGGTCATGGTGATTACGCGATTGAGAGTCTCGCCTGTGGCGTTCCCGAAGCTCTTGGAGGCAGTGAGCTCCAAGGCACGGGAACTGGGTTTCGAGACAGTCGAAACCTGGAACCTGCCCCATGAGCTAAAGGAGGTGGCGAAGGGCACACGGACGTTTGAAAGGGATGAACATCTACCCGCTGTGAAGTGGTACGGAGGGGAACCTGATGATAGCGTAGAATGGATCTTTAACGAGAAGTACGTCTCACTTGGATGGTTCCTTGACGATGGGCTGACGCGTCATTATTGTAGGTTCTGCTGGTGCTAATATGCATTGGTGTTCAAGAGTAGCGTGACCCTGTTTGGCCTGCGGACGGACCCTTAAGATGATAATATACAGTACGCTATATGTCCGAGTATAGAAAGATGTGGCGTGAGTGCAACAACAGCACATTGTTTACTTCAATCCATATCGACGTCTTCATCTTCGTGTGCGAAGTCTTCAAGGTCGCTGTAGCTGAATACTTCGTTGACATCAAGGCCGTCCAATAGTTCCCGTTCTGCGGCCATCTGGGCGAGGTCTTCTACGTTTAAATCTGCAGATTCAGACGGAGGTTCTTCCTCATCTATATTCATTCATGTGTGAGCTACTTGACGGCCACCACAATGACTGCCGCGAAGTACCTGGCTGCTCCCATTCGGCTAGATCCTCCATGTCGGGGTCAAACGAGTCTCCAACATCCTGCGCATATGAAAGACGGTACGAATGCTTGGATTTTTGTTTCAAGTTCGAGATTATACGCTGGAAGAACTGCGTATATGCACTGAAATTAGTTGCAAACTCGCGTTTGAATGCGGTCTACAAACCGGATCGTTCATGACCGTGTCGTCATCCTCGTCCTCTTCGCAGTCCATCAGCTCATCAAAGCCATCGCTGCTCAGGTCCATCGCTCTCCGCTTCCCCTTGACCTTTCTCTCCCTGTCCTGGTTCGCCTTCTCGATGCAACGCGCCTTGAACCGTTCCCTGAGTATCGTCGTCCGTGTGGGCTCCTCGCTCGATCCTTGTGGCTCACGACGCGTCAGAGAAAATGGTATCGCACCCGTAGTGACGCGCCGCGATGAT